GCTTCCCCACTATCCACAAGGCTTGTTACCCTGTCAAAGACCACTATTAGGTTGGTTTGACAGGATTTGTTCTTGACAAATCCATGCTGATTGTAACTTATCACCTTATTATCTTCTAAGTGTTTGCAAATTGATTCCTTAATTATTTGCTCCATTATCTTTCCGGCTACTGAAGCTGACTGGTCTGTAATTCCCCGGGTTGTCCTTATATCCCTTTTTATAGATTGGTACTATATTTGTCCTCTTCCAGGCTTCTGGAATTTCTCCTGTCTTGATGATAAATTCCAGCAAATCATCCCTCCACAGATGGTTCATAGTAGCTCTGACTGATTCCCAGTTCATCAGTGGTGTACCTTCCCGAGGAGAGATTTCCCCAGATAATCATTGGCCATGGCAGGGGCCTCAAGCAGTAGTGCACTTTGCTCCCTCCTAGTCTCTGCCTGTGGCACATACTAGTTTAGTCTCGAGAGGGCTGTAATACTTAGTCTACCCAGGTTTTTGAGCCCAATAGCCTGAGTTAACTGGGTGGGGTTGAGTGGTCTGTGCTATACAGGAGGTCAGACTAGATGCTCTCATGGTCCTCCTGGCTTAAACTCTGTGACCTCCTACATCAAATTAAATCAATCAGCCATGGTGAAAACCTGATCTCGACTCTTAAGCTGCTCTGACATGCTGCTGCTAGCTAGGCTTCGCCTCCCCCAGCACAGGGCTGGCTCAGGTCCGTATATTGCCTTACAAGACAGATGTGCACGTCATCGTCCCAATTCATATCCTGTCATCATTAAACTGGTGGACAGAAGCTCTGCATCTCCATCCTTCCACCAACAAAGACCTCAGTCCCAGATGCTTCTGGGACAGGCTGGGGTGCTCGGATGGACCAACTTCAGATAGGGGAATCATCGTCTCTGGGAGAGATGAGACTGCCTACAACCATCTCTCTAGTTGCTGGATCTCATTCAAATGTCACCTCTGCCTTCAATAGCACTACCAGATTGTCCTGATATAGTATCTCAGAATCATGGCCAGATTCTCCATCCAGATGCAAACATCTAACTACCTATTTGTGTTGGCTGGTTAAGGGCTGCCAATAGAGCCTGTTCATTGCAAGTCTGAGGACTGATTTTACCAAGCAGAAAGCCCTCCACAAGGAGAACCAACTTCTCACAATGAGAAGATCCTCAGTCTGGGAGCAACCATGTAGCCGTGACTCTCTGGAAAGCCCTGGTGTCAAGAATCTTGACTGTGTGGTCTGCATCTGAATCTCTGTGGACTCTAGATCAGTTGGGTCAAGGTCCACCTTGCAGCAGCTAGAGCATGCCAGCCCAGCCCAGTCATGTGGTGTATTCTCCCCCCTACTGTTCCTCCAACAGTTAAAAAGCCAAATAAAGGCCTGGCAGGGCTCATCTAGCCACCTCTGAGCCCATCTCTGAATATTCCCTTCAGCACCTTACTCTCAAAGTGGCTATTCTGGTGGCCATTCCATCAGCCAAGCACGTCGGCAAACTCCAAGTCCCCTGGCTCCATTATACCATGTTTCATCCAGATCAGGGGGTGGCAAGACTACTTCCTAAAGTTGTTTTAAGATTCCCACTGAATCCAGAAAGTGAATTTCCCTGTTTTCTTTCCTAAATACAATTCCTCTTGGCGGGGGGGGGGAAGAAGTAGCTCCACCCTGGAGAGATCTCTACGGCCCTGTTCTCTTACCTAGTAGGACCAGTCTCCCCGCCTTTTGGTTGCATTAACTGGCACTGCTAAGGGACAAGTGGTCTCTTCCTAGAGCCCATCTAAATGGCTTCCCCAGTGGATTCCAGTGTTATCACATGGCAGGCATTCCCTCTCCCCAGGTATCACAGCTTTTTCAGCCAGAGGTCAGGCTGCCTCCTCTGCATGTTTCAGGAATCCTCCCGTTGGAGTAACCCGCTGCCCTGTGTCCAAAGCTGTGCCCTAGACTGGGCTTTAAGCCCAGAGGCCAGGTTCAGAAAGGCCATGTTCCAATCACTGTTCAGGGCCACTGATGGCACCTGGGAGGTGGGACTGCTGGCCAATCATCTAGGATGAAATCCGTGCAGGCACACACACGAGGGAACAGAGGGATGGTCGTGGCCACGCCGCCCTTCATATCCTCAGGTGTGCGGAGAGGGAACAGGGCAGGCAGGACACTGGTGTGACCCCAACGGGCACTGCTGGGCAAATGATTCCCATCTCGCACGTGGGGCTCATACACTTAAAGGGGAATTCCCATGGACACCACCGACCGCAAGCCCCCCCAGTTAGTGCAAGTTAAGGAATGCCCAAGGGGAGGTTGGGGTGCAGCCCTGCAGAATCCTCATGGGGGTGCAGTGGTGGTGGGGGAGGGCTCTGTTTGGTTAATATATTGGGGTGGGGGTGCATGGAGAGTTAAGATGTTGGGGAGGGGCAGAGGGCGATGAACTAGGCTGTGGGATCCTAATGGTGCTGTCTGGTTTTCCAGCTGCGCAGGCCCCTCTGAAACCAAAAACGCCACGCGGCACCAAGACGCCCATAAACCGGAACCAAATGAGCCAGAACCGGGGCCTGGCCGGCATCGTGGGCAAGAGGGCATACGACAGCGTGAGTGCCACGCACACACTCTGGGGTGGGGGGCAGCGATGGCATGAGTGACGGGGGAGGGGGTCCCCACCCATGGGTGGGTGCTCGCTGTCAGAACTTCCTGTCTGTGCTCCAGGACCCCAGAGCCCCTTCCCAAGGGGGGCGCTGCTCAGGCAACCCCATGGGAGTCAGGTTAGTGGATCCCAACAGAGGGTGGGGCTCAGCTGATGGCTCCGGTCTGTGACTGATGTAGGGGGTGGGGTCTATGCAGAGGAGGGGGTAGGGCCCAGCTGATGGCTCTGGTCTGTGATTGGTGCAGGTGGCAGGGAGCGGGGTCCCGTTTTCGGCCAATGGCCGGCCCATGACCTCGGGGATGCGGTCGAGTGCCCAGCCAGCTGTCAAGCGTCAGAAGCTGAACCCAGCTGATGCCCCCAACCCTGTTGTCTTCGTGGCCACTAAGGACACCAGGTACCTTGGGGGTGAGGGGGGAAGGGGAGTCACTAGGTCACGGAGGACAGGTCCCACCAGGCAATGGGGGAAATCATGGCAGGTGGGGGGACAGGCAGAGGGGACACTTGGTAATGGGAGCAGATTGGTGGGGAGCACCCTAAGGCCAACTGGGGGAGAATCGAAGCTCTCAGTTGGACGGGGGGAAATTGGGGGGTTTAGTCTCACCCCCGACTCCAACCCATTAGTCTTTGAATGGGGGAGGGCATTCCATCTCTTCTCTTCCCCCCTCCCCCCCCAACCTCTGGGAGGAGGGCAGGGGCTGTGGCCTCATTCTTGCTGCCCCTCACCGAGCTGAGGGCTCTGTGTGTTGCAGCAGCAGGAGCTATCTGGGTTGTGCCTGCTTGAACCTACAGCTGCCTGGGGGGTATTTGGAGGGGCCCTGCCCCCCTGCTTGCAGGCTGTCCCACTCTGACCCGCTGTCTGTCTCCTGCAGGGCGCTGCGCAAGGCTCTCACCCACCTGGAGATGCGCCGAGCTGCCCGTAGGCCCAACCTGCCACTCAAGGTGAAGCCAGTGCTGCCCATACGGCCTGTGGTAGCGCCGCTGGTGCCGGGGCCCCCAGCCCACCCTGCCAGCACCAGTGAACCCATCATCCTGGAGGACTGAGCCCAGCCCCTCTTCCCAGAGCCGCACCTCCCCGTTCTCCAGAGCCTGTGTACATGGCAGGCTGGGCTGCAGCGCCTTGTTCCACGTGTCCCCGTTGGGGCTTCCCCAGCCCCCTGAGGGATCAGCCCAGGGGTGTGAGGAGCAGGGGTGTGGCTTCCACTTTTTTTAAATATATTTTTATTTCTCACAAACTCCCCCTCCGTCTTCAGGGCTGGGATGTTTGTGTTAGGATCGTGGGGAGGTTGAAGTGGGGAGCCAGGGGCTCCGTCTGCCCCCTCTCCCCAAATGCAGTTACTTCTCGTCTTTCCTTGTTTCCCTGTGTTGGTTCTGCTGTCTCTGCTCATTTCCCACAAGCCACAGCTCTGCCCCCACCCCCGGATCCTATGTCCCCAGCTGGGCCCGGCTCTCCCCCCCCCGCGCCCCCCCCCCCCCCCCCCCCCCGGCCCCCCCTCCCCCCACCGGGCCCCGCCCCCCCCCCCCGCCCCCCCCCCCCCCCCCCCAGCCGGGCCTGGGTTTTGTACATGATCAGAGAGGAGAATCTGTCTGTTTTTTTAACTCAACCTGTAACCAGTTCTTATAGCAACCAGGAAATAAACCAACGCCTTTTCTTCACGTGCCCACTGCTGGGGGAGGAGGTGGCTGGGGCTCACTTGGGGGGGGAGGGACAGGAGGTGGATGGAGCCCTCAGTTCATGGGGTCCACTGGGGAAGGGAAGGGGCTCCTCATACTGGGCAGCTGCATCTCACCCTGGGGCTGGGCCCTGTTGTCTCAGAGCGGAGGGGGAGGAGAAGGAGCCAGTTTGTGGGTATGTGTGTGTGTGTTGGGAAGGAAGCAAAGGGTGATAGGGCCCCACCCTCTGAGGCGCAACTCAAAATCAGGCACAGTCCAGTGCCAAAGAGCCAGTTTAATATCCTAGCAGGGAAGAGTTGCCAGGGGGCCACCTATGATCTGTGTGTGGCTACATAAGAGAGCGCCCGCTGTACCTTCTCCAGTGCTGCTAGAGTGCCAGCTTCCTCCCCTGGAGTGGCTGGGTTGGGGGAAATGGCTCCAGCAGCCCAATCCACTCTCTGCAGCAGCAGGATCCTAGCCTCTGCTGCCTGTGAGTATAGGTCCTACGCAAACAAAGCCTCTTGCTGTTTGTCTGTCTCAGGGAAGGTATGTGCTCCCCACCAGTCCAAAGGGCTGGGAGGGAAACGGGGCTGGCTCTAGTAGGGCTGTGGCCCATAGTCCAACCCAGAGAGCTTTGCCCTTCCACCACCACAAACTCTCCCCCCCCCCCCCCCCCCCCCCCCCCCCCCCCCCCCCCACGTCTATGGGCTGGCTTCCAATCCCTGCATCTCCCCCCACACGCATGTAGGTCAGGGGCCCAGGGTGCCCCTCAGCTGAAGTAGCTGGTGATGAGCTCTTGCCGCAGGCACTGGGCCTCCTGGGAGAGGGGCTCAGGGTGGGGAGAAGCCTGGTCAGGTAGCCTGGCACCCGGCTCCACCCCTTCAGGCATGGCAATGCCCCGCCCCACAGCCATGTTGTGCAGGACACAGCAAGCCACAAAGATGTGGCAGACCTTGAGGGGGCTGTACTGGAGCACCCCCCCTGCCTGGTCCAGGCACCGGAACCGGCCTTTTAGTGCCCCCACTGTACGTCCCACCACAGCCTGCGTGGCCATGTGCGCTGCATTGTATCGCTGCTCAGCTGCTGTCTCTGCTGCCTCCACAGGTGTCAGCAGCCAGGGCTTCAGGGGGTAGGTGCCATCCGCTGTGGAGAACCAGACACAGGGGTTATGCTATGCAGGTTGACTCGCTGGCTGTCCCTGGCCTTCCACCCATCCCCACGGCAGTCTCCAGCCTTTAAGATGGGGCCTCTCCCCTCTATAGGATGCCAGCTCCAATCAGGCTCTGGGCAGGGGCCCTGACAGGCTCAGGGGAGTGGGGAATGGAATAATGGGAGCCCTTCCCTCTTCTTGCTTGGAAGTTGCAAGTGTCCATGATGCTCCAAGAGGGAGGGAGGAAGGGCCTATCAAGACACCGTGTACCCCACTCCCTTACGGGAGGGGCAGGGCAGGCTGAGGCAGGTAGCAGAATCTGGTAGGTGGGTGGGCACTCCCTCAGGGCCCCTTGCACATAGCAGGGAATTCAGGCTGGGGTGGAGGATGCAGGTGACTAGCAGCTGTCATGGAGCCTTCACCACACAACCTGTGTTCAAACCACCCTGAGCAATCTCACCACTGGAGCTTGGCCTGTGGTTTATGGCTGGTGCAGGGAGCCTTGATTTCTTCCCTGGCTCCTAGGTGCAGGCAGGGCTGCTGTGATGGGCTAGGGGTGGGATCCAGGTTACTCTGCTGAGATAAGAGTCCTACTTCTGTGATGGACAGTGGAGACACTGGAGAGTGAGGATAGCCAAGTAAGGGGTGCCACAGGTGCATGAGATTGGCAGGTGGGGCAGCTGAGGGAGGGGCCCCTAGGCCATGGCTCACCCAGCAGCCAGCCATCCAGGTTCTGGTGCCCCTCAAAGATGCCCCTGAGGCTGGAACAGCTGAGAATGTGGGCATCCGGCACAGAGCCGGGGAACTCGGCCACCACATGGGTTATCATGCCGTGGGCATCGCACACCAGCTGCATGTTCATGGAGTGGAAGCGCAGTGGGTTGCGATAGAGGTTCTCGTGATCCGAGGGCGGCTTGAGGGCCACGTGGGTGCAGCCCAGCGTGCCCAGCACGTTGGGGAAGCCAGCAATGCGCAGGAACTCCTCTTTGGTGCGGGCCTGTTGCCGAGGCTGGAAGGGGAAGCGGATGTAGGCGTTGGCACGGCGGGTCAGGGCAGTCGTGACTTGGGAGACGCAGCGGGACATGCTGGCCTGGCTGATGCCAGCCGCGTCGCCCGCCGGCGTCTGAAAGGTGCCCGAGGTGTAGAAGTTAAGGGCAGCCGTCACCTTGACATAAACAGGGAGAGCATGGCTGCGGCCGGTCGAGGGCTGTAGGTCACACTCCAGTGCGTGGCACAGGTCTCGGATCATCTCAGGGTTGAGCTGGTAGCGCCGCATCACCTGCTCCTCTGGCATGTTCAGGAACTGGATCCGGGGCTTGAACACCCGCTCCTGGGGCACCCGCCTCCGCCGGCGGGCATGGGCACGCTGGGCCAGCAGGTACAGCGCCATGGGGGAGCTGCAGCCACCCGGAGAACAGCTCCACCCGCAGAGAGCAGGCCTAGGGGGAGGCTCTACAGGGGCTGCGGGCAGGAAGGGGGCAGGGGAGGGAACTCCTGTTGCCCTGGCTGGGGGTGGGGGGGCAGGGTCCCCACTTGCCCTGGCCGGAGGTGGGGGAGGAGCCGGAGGGGGATCTCTACTTGTTCCGGCCCCGGGGGTAACTAGATATTAGGGTCCCCCCCCCCGCTGCTGGGGGAGGCTCCGAGCCGGAGGGACCCGCTGCCAGCGGCTCAGCGCCTCCCGTTCTCCGCGGACCCTGCGCAAGACACGCCCCCTCTTCCACCAATTAGCGCGCCCCACTCGTGATTATTAATAAGGTGTCAACCCCTACGCTACAATATGGCATATTCCAATTAGCCCCACCTACGTTGGGGGAATGGAAACGGAACGGACCACGTCCGGCGGAAGTTATAGTGGCGTCACGCCACTTCCGGTAGACGAGATCGCTAGATGGGGGCACTTCCGTTGGAAGTGTTTTCTGGTAGGGAAGATCGGGGAGGAAATACTTCCGGTGGCTCGGAGTTCGGTCCCGGGATGGAGCGGGATGTGGAGTCGCTGTCCCGCGGAGGCTTCCGTTGCCGCCTATGTCATGTGACTGCCGCCAACAGTGAGGGGGGTCGGGGTCACCGGGGTCGCGAGTCACCTGGGCGTGGGGGTCTGGGCGGGGGTAGAAGTTGGGGGGTCGGGATCAGAGATCACACTCGGTGGGGCTGCAGTGTTGGGGTTATGGCACCACTTAAGTAAGAGGTTATAGGAGGTCTGGTCCTGGGGTCAGAGGTAACAATCGGTCAGAGGATGTGACACCTTTGAACCATAACCTGGATGGGTTGCTGTCACCATACAGGTCAGAGGTCACAATCGGGGTCAGCGTTGGGGTGTTATGGTGTGTTTGGGGAGACAGGGGTTAGTGTTGGGGCAAACAAAGCAGCGTTGTGGGTGTAGATGTCGCGGTCTCCATTCAGGTCAGGGGTCGCAGACTGGGAGTGCTTGTGGGAGGTGTTAGGTCAGAAGTTGCCATGTGGGGGTTAGTGTCAAGTTAAAGATTGTCCTTTGGGTCAGGGATGTCAGTATTTGAGGGAGTTGCAGTCTGGGGACAGTGTGACCTTCAACCCCACCCTGCCTCTGCCCCTGCATTTCCCCATCACTTCTGAGCTGCATGTGTCTCCCCTACAGAGCCCAGCCTACAAGATCATCTGCAGGGGAAGAAGCACCAGCGGCTGGAGAGCTTGCGTGCCAAACGCCAAGACCAGGAGCTGCGCAGTGTCTTTGTCAGTGGCTTCCACAAGGGTACATCAGCCCCTGAGCTGAGTGAGTACTTTCAGGCCTTCGGGGGCGTGGCCAGTGTGGTGATGGATAAAGACAAGGTGAGTCCCATGGTCAGGCCAGGGGCTCCCTGGGGTGGATGAGACCCCTCCCTGGTACTAATAGCCTGTGCTTTTCACTCACAGGGGGTCTATGCTATTGTGGAGTTGCAGGACCAGGAGGTGATGGAGAAGGTGCTGGCCCAGCCTGAGCATTGCCTGGGGGGGCAGCGGCTGCGGGTGAAGCCCCGGGAGAAGAAGGAATTCAAGTACATGCCTCCCAAGAAGCAGGGATCTGCACATCACGTACAACTGAGTCCTGAAAAGCTGGTCCAGGCACTGTGCCAGGCTGATGATGTGAGTGTGGATGGGGACCTGGGGCCTCTCCTGGCTGCTGACAAGGGTGACTGCTGAGCTGCATGAGCAGGGACACGCCCCTAGGGTGTGTGTATGGGGGAGGTTCTGAGCTGTCTGGAGCTGGGATGATCCCTGGAGTGGAGGTTTGGTCTGTGTGCTCACAGAGCTTAGGGGTGGGGAGGAAGGAGGGAAGGGGGGTTCTGAGATGGGTGGGGTTTTGGGCTGTGCAATCCTATGCACATGTTGCGGGGGCTGTTTGATGATGTTGCTCCCTCACTCCTCCACACACACCTAGGTGGATGCCCAGATGTCACAGCTGGTGCAGCTGTTTGAGCTCTCCGAGAGCGAGAGGCGGCTGCGACACCTACTGGTCACCCTGTTCCAGGAGGTTTTCTCAGAGTTCTTCCCTGGTAAGTTTCAGCTCCATGTATGTGCACGTCTGTCTGTCTGTCTGTCTGTCCCTGCCCGATGTGCCACTGCCGTGACCTTTGCCTCCTGTGTGCGCGCAGGGTGCGCCATCCTCCCCTTTGGCTCATCGGTGAATGGATTTGACATCCATGGCTGCGACCTGGATTTGTTCCTGGACCTGGAGAAAACAAAAACCTTCCAGGCATCTGCCAAGGGACTCCAGGGGGCACAGGTGAGAATGGATGGTAACAGGGACCCCTGGGGGGTTGGAGGGTTGCAGGGTAGGCACTGGTAGCAGGGACTTTTGCAGGTGGGGGGCATGATGAGTGCTGGGCACTAAGTCCAACCCCTTGCAGGCCGAGGAGGGGGCAGGGCCAGACTCTGACTCAGAGGACTCCATCCTGAGTGACATTGATCTGACAACAGCGACGGTGCCTGAGGTGCTGGAGCTGGTGGCAGCTGTGCTACGGAAGTGCGTACCAGGTGTGCACAGTGTCCAGGCAGTGCACAGTGCCCGCCGCCCTGTCGTCAAGTTCTGCCACAAGGACTCGGGGCTGCTGGGAGACATCTCCATCAACAACAGGTGCAGAGCCTGGGAGGCGGGGCCCAGAGGCCAGGGTGCGCATGTGGCGGATGGCGGGAGGGCATGTTGAGCCTGGGGTGGGAGCCAGCTCCATCTGGGAGGGGAGGGGGACCTCTCCCATCTAGAGCATCCCTCCAGGGTCAACTGTTCTCTACACACCCTTCCCCACTCTGGGGAGACACGGACCATCCTGGCTCCATGGCTGAGACTTGTTCACCAGCGCCAAATCCACATGGGCTGCCCTGGGCCGGGTAGGGGGTAGAGTGGACAATGGAGAGGTCTGGGGGTGCCTCAGGTGTCTGTGTGGGGGGGGTGTTGGTGCTGCCCCCCCCAATGTGTCCCATGTCTCTGACAGGCTGGCGCTCTGCAATACGCGCTTCCTACAGCTCTGTACGGAGGCTGATGAGCGGGTGCGTCCCCTGGTCTACGTGCTGCGCTACTGGGCCAAGCAGCAGGCCCTGGCAGGTAAGGACTCCCACTTCCCCTCACTGGGGGGTGCATTGTTAGAGCTCCCCTCTGGAGGAATCATGCTGGGCGGTGCATGGGTCTAGGATTTGGGGTATGGACACCCCTGTTGTCTTGTCTAATGGCCCCCATCTCCCCTCAGGAAACCCCTTTGGGGGCGGCCCCCTCCTCAACAACTACGCACTGACCCTGCTGGTGCTGTTCTTCCTGCAGACGCGCAACCCCCCGGCCTTGCCCACACTGGCCCAGCTCAGGGAGCTGACAGGTAGGAGTTACCCCACAGTGCATTCAGTTGGCGTTGCTGCATTAGCCCGTTGTGCCCCTGGGGCAGTGTTTATCTCACCCCCCATCTCTGTCCCCTTCCCAGGGGATGGGGATCAGGCCATTGTGGACGGCTGGGATTGCAGCTTCCCCCAGGACGCGTCGCGGCTGGAGCCCAGTGCCAACATGGAGAGTCTGTGTGAGTGCCGGGGGGGCCGGGGCGGGTAATGGCCTGCAGGACATCCCCCCCCCACTCCATGTACGCAGCCTACTCATGGGCCTGCCACTTGAGACCAGGTGGGCTCACCCTGCCTGCCTGGGGTGGGGCCGGGGGGAGGGTGGTCTCAATCCCCAGGGAGCCGGGCAAAGGATGTGAGTGATTGTCCCAGCTGTCAGGGGTGGTTTCCCTTCATCTCTTCCAACCCCAGAGCATGATGGGAACACTCCCCTGAGCTGCTGCCCCAGGATCCATCCAGCCTGGTTTCCTGTTGGCAGTCCCGTGCAGGCAGGTTCCCTGGTGTCGTTGTGGGGGAGGGGAAAGAGAAGAGAATTTCTTTCCCCAGCTCCCCATATGTCCTGCAGGCTGAGAGCTCTTCCCCAGCCCCTTTGTGATCTCATGTCTGTGCAGGGCTTCTGTCTCCCCACCCTCACCCCACCTCTTGCCTACCTGATTTTCCCGCAGCCACCCTGTGTTACCTGCACAAAATTATCTGTTACGTACACTCTAGGGCACCCACCTTTACCCTTCTGTGGGCTCAAGCCGTAACCCTATCAATTTGGGCACACCCACCCTTTCCCAGTTCCTAGGGCTCTGGGTATAAGGCACCCAACTTTACCCTAAATTTGTTGCCCGCACGCTCTAGGACATCCCACCTCTACCTAGTTCTTAGGGCTCAAGGCGTAACCTGGTTGATTTAGGCACCCTCTCCCTTTTGCCAGTTCCCAGGCGAAAGGCACCTCACTTTATCCCTCCGTGGGCTCCGGGCTCTACCCCTCCGTGGACTCAGAGCTTAATCTTCTGCGGGTTTACAGGGTCTTTGACCAGTGAAAGAGCATTACACAGTAATATCCTATTTAACCTCTGTTTATTAACAATCACCAAAACAGAATGCACACGCTAAGCATATGATGCTCTCTACAATATGGCTACAGGAAAAGACCTTATCCTTACTCCTGGGCTCACCCTTCTCCCCCCAGCCACTTTCCTCTCATCTGTCTGCATCTCCCTGCAGGTTCCCTCCTAGCCGAATTCTTCCGCGTCTTTGGGGACCATGACTTTGCTGGCTGCGTGATCTCGCTGCAGGAGGGCCGGGCGCTGCCCCTGCCCAGCTTCCTGCTCTCAGAGGTGGGTGCCAAGTTCAAGCTGGGTCCTTTCAACGTGCAGGACCCCTTCGAGCTGAGCCACAACGTAGCAGCCAACGTCAATGAGAAGATAGTGCAGCGGTTCCAGCACTGCTGCCGGGACGGGGCCAAGTACTGCCGCAGCCTGCAGTACCAGCGCAAATCCAGCAAGGGCAAGGCCTGGGGGCTGGTGCGGCTCTTCCAGCCAGGGGTACCGGAGGCTGGGGAGCTGGGCCCCGATGGGCTTCTCATCACCATCCCCTTCACGC